AACGCATTCTCCAGCACCTACCCCCTTTCCCTTATTGCAAAGCAGGGATGGAGAGGTTCAAATCTTTTTTTTTTTGCAATTAAATTTTTTTGCATTAATTCGGCTCTTTTCCATTAACTCGGGCCCTGATCATGCTATAGTATTATAAAATGATTTTTTTAACAACTTTTTTGCCTTAAAGTATTCTTAAATTATATAAAAAAAAAGAGTATTGATGTTATTATGTGTCATAATTTTTTCTCCCTCTTTCTCGTGGAATTGCTTACATTGTGTGTTTTTAAAAATGCTTTGAAAAAACTGAACTAATTTAAAGAGAAAATTAAAAATAATTGAACCATAAAGTAATTGAACTGATAAAGGTAACAATAAAGAACGTTTTATTTAAATTTTTAATAAAAATAAAAAAAGCAATACAAGCTTTTTATTTAAATTCTGAACAAAGTTATTTTAAAAACTTAACAGCAAAATGAGCCTTTTATTTAAATTCTAAATAATAAAAATTAAAGTGGAATATAGAATGTTTTATTTATATTCAAAAAAAAAAAAAATTAAAAAAAAAACTTTTTTTTTTTTTTTTAACATCTTCACTTCCAACAAGGCTGCAAGCAACCACTATAAGAGTTGGAAGTTACTGGAAGAGAAAAGGCTAAATCTGTAGAGCAAGATAACGATTGACTGATGACTTAAAAGATTGCAAATTATATGAATCAGGAAAGCAAGATGAAGGAAGCGAATTCCAAAGAACTGATGTTCGAGGAAAAAAACTAGAAGAATAAGAGTTTTTGGAGCACTTAGGAACAGTCACAGAAAAAGGATGAGACTTAATTGAATGGCGAGTAACACGAGAATGAATTTTAGTAGATGGCACAAGGGACGCTAGCTCTTTAGAGCAGTGCCCATTATAGTATTCGTAGAAAAGAGAAAGAGAAGCAACATTACGACGATGTGACAAAGGTTGGAGATTGGCTGCCAGAGCAGGTCCAACTATGTTTACAATTCGTTTTTGCACCTTGTCTAAAAGAGAAAGAGCATCATTAGAAGATCCGCCCCAGATGTGGCAACAGTATTCCATACAGGGACGGATTTGAGATTTATAGAGATAGAGAATAGAATCTGGAGTAAGAAAGTGTAGAGCTCGATAAAGAGATGCAACCTTAGCAGATGCTAACTTTGGCAAAACAAAGTTATATTCAAGTTCTAAATAAAATGATTAAAATAAAAAATGGCAAAACAAATGTTGTATTTAAATTTTAAATAAAAAGATAAACTTAAAAACAAAAAAATTAACATTTAACAAAATTTTTAAACATTTAAATAAAATATCACAAAAACCAACTAAAAAGCAAACGTTTCTTAAAGTTCCTAATGGAAAAGTAATGGCAAAATGAATGTTTTAATTAAATTTTCAATGTAAACTTTACTTAAATAGTAAAAATAAAAAAAGCAATTAAAATAAAAACAGAATAAAGAACGTTTTATTTAAAATTTAAATAAAATAATTTAAATAAAACAAAAATACATGTGTTTTAATTAACTTTTAGATAAAATTTTACAAAAAACCAACACAAAAGCAAATGTTTAAAAAACAGCAAAAAAATGAACATTTTAGTTAAATTCTAAATGCGAACCTAAATAGTAAACAAAACAGTTAAAATAAAAGAGGATTCACGAAAGTTTAATTAATTCTAAAGTTTAATTAATGCTGACCTAAAAGAGTTTTAGGTCAGCAAATTTTTACTGAGCTTATTTTTCCTAATTCTGACACAGTTGACAGATAGGCGCTTTAGGTTTAAAATGAAATGACCCTGAAGTTTCAGTGAATAGAGGTCACTAATATCATATGTTTTAAGGATCTAGTTTTGTAAAAATGAGTGATTTTTTTTGAGAAAATTCGTTTTGAAAATCTGCAAAAATTTCATAATATTTTTGCAGGATTTTTAATAATTTAGGTTCTTTAATCAGTATTAAAATCAAAAGTTACATTTTTAGAAAAAAAAAAAATTAAAAAATGAACTTTGTTTATAATCAATAAGAAGGTGAAAATAAAGTAGTTTAATAAAGACTGTGAAAGATATCCAGACCTTAAGATTATTGAGAATGCTTGGGCACAGCTGTCACATATAGTGTTTAAAGGTGGTAAACAATATAGTCCAGTACCTGACTTGAACTCATCCATTGTATCTGCATGCGATGCGATGCCATCTCTAAACCTTAAGAAGTGAAAAAAAAAAGATTTTTAAGCATTAAAAAAAAATGCCATTGCAATTTATTTGACATCAAATTAACGTGTTCAACTTTTGAACTGATAAAAAGTTGCTAAAATTAGGTAATTTAATTCATTAAAATACAATAGGCAAATGTTGCAGGGACACTGAAAATGCGGTATTAAGTTTGAATCATTCTTGGAAGCAAAAATAGATGAGAGCAAGATTCTGTTGGATGCTGTCAAAACTATAGGAGGTGAAGTATATAGTTTGTATATAAGGATAGACAATAGGCTCAAAAAGGTAGTTATGAGAGACTTTTCTAATGCTGAAGACCTAACAGTGTTTTTTAACTTTGTCATAGATTTTAAAGGCCAAGATTACCACTGTGCGCTTGTCAGAGTTGGAATTGATTCAGGTAACCAAAGTTAAAAATTAGGGACATGCATACATGTTAAGTATTCATTTAATCTAGTATTTAGCAAAACATACCTAAATTCCATGTATTGTTCATTTAAAGTAATCTGCATCCTGAACAGGGGGATAGAGGGACACAGAGATATACTCTAGGATCAATGGGGCTGTCGTTCTTGCATATGCAGATAACCTACAAGTCACCCACAACAACCTATTACAAATTGTTGAGAGTCTATATCTGCAGGAATGCAAATATTCTCTGGCAGCAGACATGAAAATCATCAACATATTGTTGGGAATTTCCATATTATTTATTATAATCCAAATTGATTTTTTTATATTATTTGAACACATATACATGGGCTACTTAAAAAAAAATGTAAATCAGGAGTCTTACTTAAAACATATTAGAGTCACGGAGGAAATCGTTCCTGTGCCTAGTGTGAAGGTACATCACTATTGCTTCTGGAGATTTCAGAACTTTGATATCTCTAGATGATTGTTATAGACTATTTTACAAGGATTTCCACTAGAAAGAATGCAGAACTTTAATGAACATACATTTAATGTTTGTCAAGAAAATCATGATAAAACATTAAATGTATTGAAAAATTATAAATTTTATCAGGCGTTAATAAAAATATATTTCTTACATAGGATTTTGTAAAGCCGTGATAAAGGAGAAGAAAAATCTAAGTTGGTGTTATACCTTTGACAGAACTCCATATGCTAACAGGTCTAGTAAATCATGTCACCATTCCTAACCAAGTTGTAGCCTGAGTTTCAGATGTCGGTTACAAGTTTGGGATATATACGAAAAGGATCTTATGAAGGGAATACTTCAAAACAGAAACTAGAAAATTGCGATGAGCTGGACAATCTGTTACCAGTAGAGCTACTACATTTATTAGAGCCTCAAGGAAAGTTCCACCAGTTAATTCAACAAATATTTGGGAACAGTTTGGATAAAATCACATAGACGACATTCTTAAAAAATCTTACATGCTTACTCAAGAATACTGTAAAGTAGGATATAGTAGTATGTCCCTTTTTGCTTCTAATAATATAGTCTGTACCAGTCCTTTTTTTTGTATTTCATTATAATTTATACATACTTTTCTTAAAAAGATATTGTTACAATAAACAGCATTTTTTTACAACATTTTAGTATCTTGAGAAGGATCTGATTGTCACTTAAAAAGTATTACAGCACACTTAGAAGACTTTATCTTCAGATCTGGGCAATCTCATGAAAGATATGCAGAACAGGCTTCTGAAGAAGCTAAGCTAAAATAAAGCCTGTCATCAACAATATATATATATATATATATATATATATATATATATATATATATATATATATATATATATATATATATATATATATATATATATATATATATACATATATATATATATATATATATATATATATATATATATATATATATATATATATATATATTGTGTGTACCACCGGTGGCACACGCCGGCGTGAACGTGTTAAAGTTTCCCAAATGAGCAAAAAACATTTAAAAAGAAGCAAGAGAATTGCTGAGGTAAGCAAGAGAATTGCTGAGGTGTTTAGAGTGCAAACATGTAGTAAAAGAACCTTTTCAAACTTATAATATATTAATAGAGAATTTCTTTAAATTGATTTTTAATGTTTTGAAGTCTTGCAATAAAAAAATGTAACATAAAAACTAATAAACATTGTATTATCAATCAAACTTTTGATTTTAGTTATGATTAAAGAAGCTAAACCATTAAAAATCCTGAAAAAATATTATGAAATTTTTGTAGATTTTAAATCTAATTTTCTTAAAAGATGCCACTCATTAAAAAGAGGCCACTCATTAGATTTTCTTTAAAGCAGATCCTTTAATCATATAATATTTGTGACCAAAATCCATTGAAACTTTTACGATCATGTCATTTTATCGTTAAAACCTATATTTGCAAATTGTGCCAAGGGATGTATATTTACACTCATGTATAAATATTTTAGATTTAATATTCACCACTCAGTTGTCAAATATACTTGCCATTGATAGTAAACTTGTTTTTTGAAACATATCCTGAGGTCATATGATGTTTTGTCTTGATTTTGTTCTTAAAATTAAATTAATATTAATACAGCAGAAAATAAATTTTTATGTAGAAAAGCTGATAGGTGTCCGTGTTTTCATTCCAAAAATGTTCATAAAATGTATGGCAAGTTAGTTCATTATACTGAAAAAGCATGTATATATATATATACATATATATATATATATACATATATATATATATATATATATATATATATATATATATATATATATATATATAATAATAATAATAAAGATGTATATATATAGATATTTATGATTTTTTTAGATGAGTCTGTTATAAAAAAAGAAGAAATTATTGATTCAGAGCAAATCAGTGAAACAGAGTTATTGCTTGTTCATACTAAAGATTACTTGCAAAGTCTAAAAGTATATATGAGTTTTTTATCAGTAACAGTTATAAGTATATTGTTGTAAATGTGGAAATTGGTGTGGATTTGTGTTTTTACAATACTAGAATTTTTTATTAAAATATTTTTTAAAATAAGTAATTAAATAAACTTAAATCCATTTGTTTTCTATCTTTTGAGAAAAAGAAAAAAAATTAATAAAAAAAATAAATTAAATTTATTGCAATATATCCTTCATATGCAGATACTGTCAAAACATTTTACATTGTTACTAAAGTCTTGGCTTATTTTTGTTTTAGTATAACTTCAGTTTATTCTTTAATAAAAAAGTAATATCTTTTGTTTTTAGTCAAGTTTTACAGTTGCTAGAATTACAGAAATTTGGCCTGTTGCACTTTTGCCGCATTTTATTGTAAATCGTAACTTACTTATTCCTTTTAAATTTCAAACAGGTGGAACTGTTTTAGTGAGTATTGTTTTGTTATCAGTTTTAAATGCCTGATATTTATGATTTAGATTATTAATGTTGTAATGTAGTAAACAAAAAAATTTTTTTTTTTGAAAAAGTATTAAATTTAAATAAATTTATTTATTAAAATGTTTTATAAATATATTGGTTATCAAACATTTAAAACTTGCAGAAACATTTTTAAACGCCACTTTTTTATAAACTGTTAAAAAAGGAATAATAATGAATCAATAGATTTTTTAAAGATGAGAGATGGAAAAGTTGATTCTCTATTTATAAGGCTAATTTTTATCCATAATTAAAAAAAAATTTAAATGGATCTTCTACATAGGCTGCAAAAGTAGCAATGGAAAGAGGTTGGGCTATTAATATTGGAGGGGGTTTTCATCATTGTTCGAGTAGCGAAGGAGGTGGTTTTTGTGCATATGCTGATATAACATTAGCAATTAAGGTATACAATATTTAAAATAATTTTTTAAATAAAATATTGACTCATTTTGTTACATTTAATGTTTTGTTTAGATATTAAAAAATGAATTTGATGCTGTTAGGAATATTATGATTATAGATCTTGATGCTCATCAAGTGAGATGATTTTATGTTTTATTAAACCTTATTTTATTTGATTTTCTGAAACTTGTTACATTAATATTTTAATGCTTTATATTAGGTAAAAATTCTTAAGTGTTGCCTTCGAAGTCTCTTAGTTTATACTGTGTCCTGAAATTCTAAACATGTTTAGTAAATTCTAAATATGTTTAGTAAATTCTAAATACTTTTTTTGTTAATTCTAAACATGTTTAATAAATTCTAAATATGTTTAGAAAGTTCTAAATATGTTTAGTAAATTCTAAATGTACTTAGTAAATTTTAAATGAATTCAATAAGTTCTAAATATGTTTAACAAATTCTAAATATGCTTAGTAAGTTCTAAATATGTTTAGTAAACACATCTAAACAGTATATAGAGCATATACAGGTATTAAATATTTTATGCAGCATATACAGCATAGAAACCGCAGCATTCTAAATTTAGGATTTACTAAACATATTTTTATGCTTAGTAAATTCTAAATATGTTTAGTAAATTTTAAATATGTTTAGTAAGTTCTAAATATGTTTAATAAACTCATTCTTGTAGAAAAAAGAGTGCAAGCAATGCAAAACTTTTAAAGTTCTTTCAAAGAGCACTTTTATTATGTTTACATGTCTTTCAAAGAATAAATACATGCTATAAAAAATCAAATTTTATATAAATTGTTCTTTGAATTAGGGCAATGGACATGAAAGGGATTTTATTGATAAAAGTGTATACATTATGGATGCTTACAATGCATACATTTATCCCAGTGATAGCTCTGCTGAAGGTTTTTAGTATATTTAAATTACGATTTTTTAAATTAGAATTAGTTTATTGAATTATTTATAAAGATTATTTATTTGGTAGTTCACCATAATGGCCTGTTTTTAAATTTCAGCTGCAATATCAAGAATCATTAAACTTAAACCTTATACAGAGGACAAAGAATATTTGGAACTTATTAAAAGGTTCTTTTTTTTTTTACTTTTTTTTTTTCTTATCATAACGGTAATCAACACTTCCCTCTATGGCAAACGCGAAATGTTATGGTAGAATAGCATTATTTAAAAAAGAAGTTTCTAGTTTTTTTATCTTTATTTGTAAGCTTTATGCTACACTATTTCATCAAAATAGTGTAACAAAGCTTACAAATAATGTTTTAAGGAGGTACACACATCTAACAGTTTACCTCTTGTCAATAGTGTCCGAATTTGTATTAAAATAGTGTAATTGAAAAAAGATTCTGGGGTGTTTACTACAACCAAATAGTAAATATAATCAACAAAATTAAATAAACATTCTTTATTTTTTTGCTATTGGACAATTATATCTTTTTAAAATGATTTTTCTTTGCAATCAATATTACCACAACAACTGATACCATACAATAATGTTATAAACCTTTGAGCATACTGCAGAAGTTAGTTAAGAATTAAAACTTCCATATAAAAGAGGATTTAATAATTCAGTATCATAAAAGATTATTTTAAAATTGAACTTTTTTAAATAAAAAATATTTTTATATAATTAATACGTTTACTTTGTTAAATGTAAACAATTTTTATTGTCCAAAATAAAAAGATTAAACCATAGAAATACAAACAACTAACAAGAAAACATTTTAAAAATGCTTTTAAAATACTATTATGATTGCATTATCTATATTTCAGTGTTGTGAAAATAAAATGTTTGATTTTAAAGTAAACAAAACTTGATGTCATATCTTTACAAAGTATTATTAGCTAAAAGTCTAACCATCTTTATAAAATCAATAACCTTTATGAATCAGTCGAAATGTTTTTATAAAAATATTATTTTTTATATATTTGACTGTATTAGATACCCCATAAATCCTTTTAAAAAATTACACAAAAACAAGTGAGTTGCAATGCATTGGCTTGTACCGAAAAAAAAGGGAGTTACCATTTCTTGCTTTTTTGTATGTTCTCTTTATATTTCAACTAGTATAAAGTGAACATACAAGGAAGTTGAAATTATAAAAATGACAACAAAAAATTTATATATATATATATATATATATATATATATATATTATATATATATATATATATATATATATATATAAATATACAGACATACATATGTAAATATAATATAATATATATGTATATATATATAAATATACAGACATACATATGTATATATAATATAATATATATGTATATATATATATATATATATATATATATATATATATATATATATATATATATATATATATATATATATATATATATAAATATATATATATATATATATATATATATATATATATATATATAAATATATATATATATATATATATATATATATATATATATATATATATATATATATATATATATATATATATATATCAGTCCTTGTGATGAAGCGGAAGCAATCCTCCGCGCACATGAAGCACGCTCATAAACGACCTTCTGAGTGTGACAAATAGCGCTCGCTAGTTTCTTTACAAGAGTAAGAAATTGCGCTCGCCTGAACAACTTGCGAGAGAGAAAATTATTAGTTGATTTTATAGTAAATATTTTAATTAAAAATATTTTTGCTGTAGTTAAGATAAGTTGAAACAGTTGAGTTTGCATATTGTTAAATAAAGAAGTTATATTCGTAATGCATAATTTATGCGTGGTGTACTTCAAATTTAATTTATGCGATATAAGTTCAAATTATAAATGTTCTATTTTTTCTATTTAAAAGCTAAATCCAGCATGTATTTTTATTATATAGTAGTACTTAAGATAAAAAAATCTTTCAATTGAACCAGTACTATCTGCTTTCAATCGATCCAGTACTGGCTGGAAAAGTGTGCAACTACCGTAAAAATCTTGTAAAATTTGTAGACGATTTGGAAGACTTAGATTTCTTCATTTCTATAATTCTCCACCAATTTGTTGTGCTTTTTACACTATGGTTAAATAAATATGTTAGAAAGCAATTCTTTTAGTTTAAATGCATAGTAACCTAATAAGGCTAGGAGAAATAATAAGGCATAGTAAGGCTAGGAGAAATAAACTCCGACTAAAAATTCCCCTGCCTTGGGGCTCTTGGTTGAGTAAAGGCTAGAGATGGTGTCTCGATAAAAACACTCATCTTGGGCAGATGTTAACTGCATCCAGCTACTGTCTTGTAGAAGGCCTCATAGACAAAGACTTTAGGGGTAAGCAGAAAAATTCTGCTAACCAGCCTTGAACTCCTTCTTCATCTATTAGGCTGGCGTAGATGTAACCTGTGTTACATTGTTTCCTGCCTATGCAGGAAACAATGGCTGATGAATGCTGGATCTCCTTGACTCTACTCATAGAATTTTGCTTATGCCTCCTTGATAATGGCTATGCAACTCTTCCTGTTATCTTCATATGAGGGTACAGCTCTAAAACTCAGTTTAATAGTTCTGAGGCCGGCTGGTATTAAGGTTTCCCGAACTCTGTGGTAGTTCTCAGAGAGGCTGATTCCATCAACAGCTGCAAAACATCAGAGTATTAACAGTGCCATGTTGAGCATGGATGGTGTCCCTGTTAATGTTTTTGGTGTGCATTGTCAAGGCCATATAAGGAGCCTTATGTCACGGCTTAGGGTTAATTAACAGGACTGAGACAACTGCATAGCTCATTGATTAGGAGTCTGTGCTCTATCTATGAATTAGTCAAGTTCTCATTAAACCCAAAGCAACTTTCCGTCAGTTGAGTCTTACCTCCTGCAAAATTCACCAGACTTGCTTGCACTCAGTGAAACAAATTTAAATTCTGCAATTCCTTCTTGAGATGTCAGTGTTGATGGGTACTATCCTTTAATTCATAAAGACTCCAATAGTCACATGCTAGGTTTAGGGGTATACATACGCATTAACTCCCCTATTTGTTGTGAAATCAGGTTCGAATCCTTTGAATATTCTTTTATGTGCTTTTGCCTAGCACCTCTTCACTCTATCACCTTTCTCTTTTTTCTTTATCGTTCTCCTTCTTCCCATGATTGCACTCTTTTAGATGTTATCTCTGATCAAATTGACCATGCCCTCTCTCTTTACCCCTCTGCCAATATTGTTGTTGTTGGTGATTATAATGCCCATCACACTGAATGGCTTGGCTCTAACACCACTGATCCTGCTGGCACTAAAGCCTTTAACTTCTGTGTTTCTCAATCTCTTACTCAGATAGTTAACTTTGTGACTCGTTTTCCTGACAACCCTAATCATTTACCTTCATTTCTTGATTTATGTCTTGTCTCTGACCCTAGCTTATGTTCAGTTTCTCCCTTTTTTTCCTTTAGGTGGTTCTGACCATGCAATGATCTCTATAAATCTTTCTTCTCTTACTTTTTTTTGGGCTCACCTTGTCATTGTTTCACCTACTACTACCCTAATGCTGACTGGGATTCTTTTCGTGATTTTCTTCGTGATGGTCCTTGGGCTGATGTTTTTTCTCTCTCCGCTGCTAAATGCGCCTCCTACGTAACCTCCTGGATTCAGGCTGGAATGGAAGCTTTTATTCCTTCTTGTTGGTTTCAAGTCAAGCCTCATTCTACTCCATGGTTTTCTTCTTCTTGTGCGGCTGCTATATCCAATTGTAATCATTTTTTTAATCTTTTTTAAAAGAACAACTCTCTTGAGAACAAATGGCTATTTTATTATTGCAAGAAATTGATGTAAAAAGGTGCTTTCTGATGCTAAAATCTATTATTCTCAGTTCACTAAATCTGGCATCTTATCACAGAAGTTAGGCTCTAAAGACTTTTGGAAAATCAACAGCATTGTTAACAAGGGTAGATCTAACAATCCACCTCTTATTCATGGGACTGATCTTATTACCTATTTGCAAAGAACTTTCTTCTAATTCCATTCTTGAATCTTATGGACATTCTCTTCCTTCCATTCCAGTCAAACAGGTTGACCCATTGTTAGACATTCAAATAACTCTGGTTTCTGTTGCTAAAGTCATATCTCAAATAAACTCGTCTACAGCTTATGGTCCAGACAACATTCCTGTCACAGTCTTGCAGAATTGTTCTCCAGAACTTTCTTAAATTCTCTCTAAACTATTTAACAAGTGTTTGACTGAGTTTTATTTTCCTGCTTGTTGGAAAATGGCATCTGTGGTTCCAATATTCAAAAACTCTGGAGAAAGTTCTGACCCCTCTAATTATCGTCCGATCAGTCTTCTTTCTATTATAGCAAGGTCTTTGAGTCTTTGATCAACAAATTCCTCACACCTCATTTTGAGTCAAATTAACTACTGTCAGACAATCAATATGGTTTTTGATCCTTTTGCTCTACAGCCGACTTGCTAACTGCTGTAACTGAAAGATTTTATCGTGCATTAGATGGAGGCGGTGAGGCTAGGGCTATTGCTCTTGACATATCTAAAGCTTTTGACAAAGTTTGGCATGCTGATCTTCTGCATAAGCTTGCTTCATATGGTGTTTCTAGGAAAGTTTTTGAGATTATCAAATCATTTCTTTCTAACCGGTTTATTAAAGTCATTCTTGAAGGCCAACACCCTTCTTTTTTTCCAGTAACTCCTGGGGTTCCCCAAGGTTCCATCCTGGGCCCTGTTTTGTTTCTTATCTACATAAACGATCTTCCTGACCACCTTTCATCTAAAGTAGCTCTTTTTGCTGATGACTCAACTTTATACTCCTGTCTTGACAAAAAGTTTTCTCTTTTCGATCGCCTAGAACAAGCAGCTGATCTTGAATCTGATCTCACTTCAGTAATAGATTGGGGTTCACAGTGGCTTGTGAATTTCAACTCTAACAAAACCCAGTTGTTTACTGCAAATAACTACCGTAATATGGTCAACATTCCTATATTAATGAATGGCAATCCTCTTACTGAGTCGTCCTCTTTACGTCTTCTTGGATTATCGCTTACTACTTACCTTTCATGGAAACCATATATACAATCTATTGCAAAATTAGCTTCTGCTAAGGTTGCTTCTTTTTATCGTGC